AAAAAAAAAAAAAAAAAAAAAAAAAAAAAAAAAAAAAAAGAAGAAGGGGTAGAAAACAAACAAACAAACAAACAACAAAGTAGCAAGAAAAGACCCAATGCCTCAGTATAGGAGCCATCCGAGAAGCTAGCCTGGAAAACTCACATGAGAAGAGGAGGGGGTACCTGGAACCCCCTTGCTCTTTTTTTTCCCGCTGGGACATCTTTCTGCAGCAAAACAGCTAATGCTGATTAAAAGACTAAGAGTGCCCTCAGTCAACAGCAGTCCCAGGGACAGAGAAGCTGTGACGGAAGACTAGAGGGGCCCGAATCCTCCAAACCAGCGAATCCCTGCTACTCAGGGAATGTTCCACCAGGAGAGCTGCCACGTGCCAATGCTATGCAGAGGCCCAAAGCCTGGTGTCTGAGAGACAGATGCCCAAGCCTCCCTCCTGGTGCAGAGACTCCTTACCGGTGTGTAATACTCCATGATGGGATAGTGGAGCTTGTTGCCTTTGCTGGCCCTGCCTGTCAAGAAGCAGGTCTGGCAGATATCCACGTTAAACTGTTTCAGACTCCGGTACCTTGGGGAGAGAAGACAAATCCAGTGTCACAAGACACTTGGGGTCACAAAGACAATCCAGTGTATCACAGTTGCCGTGGGATGTCTTTCTGTATGCTGTGAGTGTGTGTGGGTTCCATTTGATAATAAAGAAAGCTGCATTGACCTATGGAAGGTCAGGATAAGGTTAAGCAGCACATTCAGACTGAAGACAAGACGAAGAAGGGCGGGGTCAGGAGAGACGCAGGCTGCTGCTGAAGGAGCAACAAGTTGCCAGCAACCAGTAACGCTGTGGCCATGTGACAACATATAGATTAATAAGAATGGGTTAATTTAGATGAAAGAGCTAGCAAGAGGCCTGCACCATTAAGCCATACAGGCTGTAATTAATATTAAGCCTCTGAGTGATTATTTTATGAGTGGCTGTGGGACCTCAGGGCTAGGCGGGATCGGAGAAACTTCTGGCCACACACTGACTTCACCATTTCCGCAGTCCAAATACCCACACAGAAGGGCATGGGGCTCAACCTACTATACCTAGCAATATGAAGTCCTCAACATGTGAACAGCTTTATTCTACAGACCGCAAATCCCCATGAAACCACAAGTCTCAGGTCCCAGTAAGTGTAGGAAAGGGCATTACTTCAGCCACAGTTTAAAGGGAGCCAGTCGGAGTAAACATCTTGCCACCTCCTTCTAAAGGCAGGCTAACCTTCCCTAGTCCTAGTAGCATGGAAGAGTGAAATGCCTGGCCTTCAGTAAGCCACTATCTATCCCTGGGTTTACAGCTAAACGGCCAGGTTTTCTTGGGCAGTCATCTTGCACTTCCGTGTCTAGTTTGCTCAAGTTATAAAAAGCAGAGTGTATGTAGGGACAGTTATATGTTAGCACTCTAAAAAGCGAAAAGGTTGAATGGATTGAGGCGGGCACTCAGTGCTTGCCTAGCACGTCCAAGACCCCGGGTTCTGTCTTCAGCAGCGTACTGATAAGCTTTAGGCATTTTCTGAGATCAGTTAGCTTTGTGGAGGGAGGAGTGGATTATAATCAGGGAGGCTCCCAATGAATTTCAATGCTGTTTTACCCCGTCAGCTTGGCTCTGGTATGCACTACAGCGTGCTGCAGTCAGTCGACACTGTAACATACCGCCATCTAGGAAGTTCATAGCTGAGAGGAATGTGCAATTAACTTACGGAAAGCCTCATGAAGTTTGTAGGTTTATGACTTTGTGTTGGGCTACACTCGTAGCCATCCTCAGCTGCAGAGCTGAAGGTTGTTCACACCTACCAGGCTGTTTACTTCTATGGTACTGGTTGGGTCTCTTTTGTGAGAAATCTTGCCATGGTTGCTCAGGCTTTGCTGGCAGAGTCTGCTAATCCAGAAACCCCTTATGGGGCATTGACAAAATACCCCAGATTTTAAAGATTTATTTACTATGTATTTTATGTGTATGGGTACGTTGTCTGCATGTAAGTCTGCACACCAGAAGAGGACATTGGATCCTATTATAGATGGTTGGGAGCCACCATGTGGTTGCTGGGAATTGAACTCGGGACCTCTGGAAGAGTAGTCAGTGCTCTTAACTTTTGAGCCATCTCTCTAGCCCCTCAGATTTTTAGATTAGAGATATGTGAGCTTCATCTGCATGGTGGAAATGCTATAAACATGTGAGTATGTGTATCTTTTCAATTCTGCACTAGGATCTGTTATGTGTAACTGATTGTTCATTTATGACGGGATTATTTATATCACAAATGGTATAAATCAGGCTTTCTCTTTTTCCTTTCTTTCTGGGCAGTTGATGGTGAAATATTTGCTGACTCAACATCTGGTACATAGTTTTTTTTTAAAAAAAAATAATGTTTACTATATATTTCTAAAAATCTGTAGTACTTTGTATTACAACTGGAAAAAATTATTTCCTTTCTAATTTTTCAGAAGTTAAACATTTTTCAATTAAAAAGTTCCAACAAGCTGGGCGGTGGTGGTGCACGCCTTTAATCCCAGCACTCGGGAGGCAGAGCCAGGCAGATCTCTGTGAGTTCGAGGCCAGCCTGGACTACCAAGTGAGCTCCAGGAAAGGCGCAAAGCTACGCAGAGAAACCCTGTCTCGAAAAAACAAAAATAAATAAATAAATAAATAAATAAATACATAAATAAATACATAAATAAATACATAAATACATAAATAATAAATAAAAGGTTCCAACAATACACCAATAACACACCATAGATAAATTATAAACATAACTATTAAACAATGCCGTTTTGTACCCATTGTTGCATCCCATGATATTTTTCTCATCCCAGCAGGCGTTCGGTCCCATACCTGAACCCCTTGATGGGGCACTGCCTGCAGATAGAGCACTTGGTCTGGTGCTTTACTTGCTCAGCAATGGTGACCCGATGCAGAACGGCCAGCCACACCATAGACTGGGGCTCCAAGTTGACCCACTCTAGGAACTGGGACGCTTCAATGACTGGCTTGCCAGTGCTCTAGAGAAATAAGAAATCCAATGGCTATGACCCGGCCCAAGTAGCTTGCTGCTTGAATGTCAGCCAGCTCTTAGTGAAGCAGGGAAACCAGCCCCCCTCCAGACATGTTCACCTTCTGCCTTGTCTTAATGGACACCCTCCAGAGGACCATTAGTTCTGTTGTCCCATCTCAAAAAAAGCCCCTTTACCTCGCAGTACTTTGCACCGGAAGCTAAGATGCTGGGTTCCCTCCCTTCCACTCACCACTCCTGCCATCTCCCTTCCGTCCTTCCGTGAGTCTATAGCTCCATACTTACAAAACGAAAGCAACTGCGGACACTGGGCTCCACATTGCTGCCCCCAAATGCTGCCACTTCGCCCAGCTGACGGGGCACTTGAATGGCTTCATGAAGCAGGGCACCGAGATGGCGTTGGTCACACTGGCTGCTGGAATTGGCCACTTGGCTGAAGAGGTCTGCGGGGCCCATCGTCAACCATAGCCAGCCCCAATTTAGGAAGGGCCAGAGGATGGTGTGAGGCAGAAGAAGCAGGAAAGGATGGCAGAGAAAGAGCACATTGCTGAACTAATGACTTTTGAAACCGGAAAATCCAGAAATTCATCCCCAATCCCCAGGTGTTCTAAAAAGAGCATCCCTGAGTTTGGGGTAGGGGAATCAGACAGACACAAATAGGGCATCATCAATGGGAGAGGAAGGGTCGGCGGAAATGGACAGACAGGGAGAGAACAGGGGAGAGAGTGACGAAGAGGTAGAATTCAGGAGAACAGAGGAGAAAGAAATTAACAAATAGATACTGATGGGGAGGCAGGGGGAGAGAGAAAGACAGAGAGGGGAGGGAAGAGAAAGAGAGAGAAGAGAGAGGAGAGGACAGGAGGGGTGTGTGTGTGTGTGTGTGTGTGTGTGTGTGTGTGTGTGTGTGTGTGAAAGAAAGAGACAGAGACAGAGACAGAGAGACAGAGAGAGAGCACCAAGTAGCACAGTACCAGACCCAGATGTCGCACTCCTGGGAAAGGAGATGCCTCTGGGTGTGGGAATGGGCACTAGGCAGCGTTTCCCACCCTCAAGAGAGGGCAGCTCTTCTAGGATCTCCTCAGGCCCAGGCCAACAACCTTGGGCAGCTCCCCTCTGGACATATCATCCATTGCTTCAAACCTCACCTAGGACCTGGAAGGGGGACTGAAAAGCATCACCAGGTGACGCAAGCACTCCTCTGTGGAGTCCAAAGGTCTGAATTCTGCATACTTTGTGGCCTCCCCCCCCGCCTCCAAGCCTCCCCCCGCCCCCGGCACCACTGCAGATGCTGGACTTATACTCACACTGAAGTTTTTCTTTCACTTCAGTACCACACAGGCATGCGATGCCAGTCTTAAAGGACAACGCTCGCATCTTTCCACTGCGACCACTATGTTTCAAGGGGGAGACAGACAACATGAATGCATGTGAAGGGCTAGTATCTTGGCAGTCTTTTTTCCTCAGTGGTTTGACCCAGCAGCCAACCATGCCCTAAGCTGAACTGATCCAAGTACACCATGGGAGCAAATTCTTCCCACTGTGTCCAGTGGAGATGCCCTATTGGATTGATTTGGGAGGTTTCCAGGACTGAAAGCTTTTACCTATCAAAAACATTGAGGAGCCAGTTGAGGCTCATGTCTACACACAGTGGCACATTGACCAGGATGCCTCTTTCCTCTTCCAGTCGTTCATACAAGGCAGTCAGGCAGTGAATGACCTCCACCACATCCATCACATGTTCACTGGCCTGCAGGTCGTGCTCATTGAAGATCTCCAGAGCCGTAGTCAAAGTTACCAGATCCACTGGAAAGGAAAGAAGAAAAGGGAAATACAGCCCAGAGAAGAAGCCAAGGGAACCGATGAGGCAAGGCCACGGTATCATCAAATCTGGTACCAGCTCCAAACCAACCATTTGAAAATGCCATAAACTTATCCTTTACCGTGATCCCCATCCCATGGAAGAGCAAGGTAACAAGAGGCCGCCCAAGTTAATGTAGCATGTCTCTGTATACATAACTTCCTTTACATGAGTTTTGAGAAAATGGCGTGATGTGAATGGACACACCTCTTAGGTTGTGCTAACTACCAGGGGATCATGTCCTATTTTAAGTTTCTCTGCTTTCAAAAGCCTCTTTTGTCTTTTAAACTAATTTCAGAGGCATAGAGGACTGCTACCTGGGCCTTGTTCATAATAGGCCCTCTATCACTGAGCTCAGCCCTCAGTCACTGAGCTCAGCCCTCAGCCCAACATCAGTTTCAACTGAAAGCAGATTTGTCCATGGATCCTGTTCTAGGAAGCTTAGTCCTGCTTCCAAAGGGTCGTGCATGGCTGAGTGAATGTTACATACACCAGGAAGATATTTGAATTACCTGTGATGTGGAGTCAGCCTACCTAGCTGGGACAGGAAGTTTAAATGAACAGGAAGTACTCCTAAGCAAGGCCAGAAGAGACAACACATTTGCAGCATGCTGAAGCCCAACTACAGACACTTGTTTTAACAGTTCTGTTGCTGTCTCTAATAACCCCAGGATGGTCAGCCATGAAGCAGATGCTGCCTGCTGCAAAGCTGGCTAGGGAAAACGGACTAAGAATCAGATAGCTGTGGAGTTACTTTGAAAACAAGGCTGGGGTGTGAGGTGAATGAAAAGGTCAAGTTTTCACAGCCAGTATGTTCGAGTATTTGCAGAGTTCCCATCAAAGCAATCAATGACTGGCCAGGGAAGGGTGCAAGGGCGAAGAAGCAGCCAGGTGAGGGAGAGGAGGACGGGAGTAAAAGCCATGGGGAAGACCATGAGGACATACGGCGCAGGGCCTTCTGGACTCTGCGGAGCTTCATGGCAGTCCGATAAGCTGAGAACTTAATGTTGTTCAGATCAGCTGCAAAGAACAGAAAGAGACTCGCTTAGATCAGAGAAATGTACAGAAGAACAAGGGTCGACAAGGATATGTGTGAGTGAGGGCTGGTAGTGGAAGTGAGCGCTGATGTGGCCACCAGAAAAACAACTTGGTATTACCCAGTAAAGTGGAACGCATTCATCCTGCCATCAAAGCAGCTATAATCCCCAGCAGTGATATGCAAACACTTTTTACTAAGACTCACAGTAAGAAATGTATCTCATATCATGAGCCAGTATATATGCATTTCATAGAGCAATTCTTTACTAGATTTAATACAAATAAAAACATAAAATTACTATCAAATCTGACCCTTGCTAAGGATCTGTTGCCCGCTGATAGTTCCTGGTCTATTTCAGCTTTTGAAGAAGATTATTGTAACATGGTAAAATAATTTTATGACCTACATACTAAAAGCATGCCCTGGAAAAACCCCTGCACATGTGTACCAGAAGCCATGTACAGGAACTCTTCAGCAGCATTACACATATTCACTCTAAACTAGGGAGGGACCCATGGCCTCGTCAGCAGTAGACTGGATAAAGAAAGGCTATATTATGTATGGTATCCCCTACAGCAGTGAAAGTGAGCGTTCTAACTGTAGCCATAGGGCTAAACTTGTGACATATGCTATTTCTCCTAGTAGGTAAAGATGTGGCATGAAAGCGTCTCCCTCATTGCAGATCAGAGACTGCCTTACAAATCAGATTAGAATTCATGTCTTCATGATGAACTCCCTAATGACGCTAAAATGGTCCACGGTGAAATGGAGACTATGCTGTTGAGGAAGATGCAGAGGAGCTTTTCTTTTAAAAATTACCTTATTGAAGTACAATGGACATGCAAGAAGCTATGTGTGAAGTGACAGGAAGCAGCATGTATTTAATGTATATAGCTTGGTAAGTTTGGTGATAAGTACACAACATGAAGCCATCACCACAATCTGTGTCATAAACCTATCCATTGCGACCAACGTTTCCTCCCATCTTCTTATTTATCAATATTACTACCTAGTAGTTGTATGTTGCTGGTAAGGGCACTTAATGTAAGATTGTTCTCTTAGTAGACTTCGACACATGAAAACAGTACTATTGACTATATTCACTACGTCGTGCAGCAGATCTCTATCTAGGACCTTTTCTGGTGGCATAATTGAAACTGTGACCTATGACCATTACCTTCTTGCTTCCTCCTCCCCTAGCCTCTGACAGCCACCACTCTCCTCTGATTTCAGGAGTCTGACTATCTTAAATTACTGATATAAGTGGGATCATGCAGTGTTTCATCTTCTTTTCAAGCCTTATTTCAGTTAGCGTAACATTCTTTGGGCTTATCGGTATCATCCAAATGGCATTGTTTTAAGACTAAAGAGTATTAGTCCATTTTGTGCATATGGTACATGTTCATCCATTCATCCATTAGTGGGGTATAGGATAAAGATACTTGTACACGGTCCCAGCCCATATAGGAGCCTTGCATTCTCACCTAGGGTTTGGTATAACTCAGTCATCTTGGGGTGGTCCCAGCATGTGGTCTGAGCCTGGTGGCTACAAACAAAAGCATCAATAGCACCAACATCACATTTCCAACACCCTTTGCAGGCCCACATCCATTAGTCCGTGAAAGGTGGGCTGCAAGAAGCTGCACATTGCAAAGACAGAACTCTGAAGCTCCTAACACACCAGAGTTCACCATCACCCAGGCAGAACCTTAAGCGTGTCTGACAAGTTGGGGGAAACATTAGACTAAGCAGGGCAATCTCAAGGCACAGAAGTGACAGAGTTGGGGACCCAAAAGGTAGGTGATGGAGGGGATAGGCAGGTGACTGACCGGCTCCTGATCCTGATGATCACTCACTTGATGTAGTAGGGAACTTTATTGGGAGAAATCGCTCGTTCCCAGGGAACCTGGACAGAAGCTGGTGAAAGAGAAGAGAAAGAAAGCTGGCCACTAGTGTTCCTCAAGCATCCTGGCCATTCTTAAATTTCTTAATTAGAAGAATTCATGTTCTTATATGTGAGTGCTTTGTCTGCACATATGAATGAATGTGTACCACATGTGTGCTTGGTGCTCGCAGAGGTCAGAACAGGGCATCAGGTCTCTTGGAACTGGACTTAGAGGTGGCTGGATGCTGCCCTGTGGGGACTGCTAATTGAACCTCTGTCCTCTGTGAGAGCAACAACTGCTCTGAACCGCTCAGCCACCTCTCCAGTCCAGCTTGACTTTTTGTTGTTGTTGTTTTGTTTTTGTTTTTTCAAGACAGGGTTTCTCTGTGTTGCCCTGGCTGACCTGGAACTCACTCTGTAGACGGACCAGGCTGGTCTCGAACTCACAGAGATGCACCTGCTTCTGCCTCCGGAGTGCTGGGATTAAAGGTGTGCGCCGCCGCCTTGGCCATTCTTAAGCACTATCCTTCCTCAAAGGCAGTGGAACACAAAAGGAAATAGCATTCACTTCCAACTGTTACAGCTCCCAGGGAGGGGCACTTAACAAGAAACACACTTTGTTCCTTGATGTTGGGACAGGAGAAGGGGACGAGCTTGTCACCGATGCCCTATTGAACCCAAAAGAGGGCTAGAACATGAACAGGAATATTTCATAACCTTAATATTTGCCTTAAGCAGGCTGTCTGTTTTACCTATTCAGCTGCAGGTAACTGGACTGCTCCTGTGGCTATGAAATACAACTGTCTGATGAGGCTCGAAGCCTTTCCCCTAGAAGGCCGACCTTCTCAGATCTGTGCGGGGAGGGGATGGCACTGCCCATTTCTCCTTTATAAGGAACTCTTTCAACCCCCTGTCTCTATCATTGAGGTCTTAACAGAGGAGGCTCAGCTTCGCTGGCTCACCTGCTCACTCACTGCAACTTTTCCGAATCCTCGAATCCTCTGCAGATAAAGCTCTGTGGAACTGACTATAAGGCAATAATTCTAACCATGTCTATTGAGCTCCTCCCATGGGCCAGATACTGTGCCCATGCCTTATATGCACATCTAACTTTCATCTTTGTCTGTTTTTGCCATCTCCTCTCCCCCCTCCTTGATCTAGGCCAGCATCACCCTTCACACGGGTTACTGTGCAGTAAACGTTGCGAGGTCTCTCTGTTCCCACTCGGGCCCATAACAGCGTATTCTGAACATCAAGCCGAACCACACATCAGATCATGTCACCCCACTTCTCAAACCCTACCCCAAATCCTCTATTCCATTTGGAATAAAATCTCACGTTCTTTCTTTTCCCTGCAAGGCCCACCATGCTCTCACTTCTCTGCTCTTTCCTTTGCCTTTTTCTCCGCAGGCCTCCTGGCTGCTCCTCAGCACACCTCCCCGACCTCCTGTTTTCAGGGCCTAGAATTTGTGCCTCGTGTGCTCCCTCACCTATCCATAGCACTTGCCACAAATTTCTCTTATACCTGTTTACTTATTTGATTATGATCTGTTTCCTCCACCAGAATGCAAGCTGTCCAAATTGAAGGGTGTGTGTGTGTGTGTGTGTGTGTGTGTGTGTGTGTGTGTGTGTGTGTTTTCCCACCAGCATGGCTCCAGTGTCCACAAAAGTGCCTGGTTCACAGTGAAACTGTTGCATAAATAAACTTATTTAATATTTAAAACCTAAAGGGCTAGGAAATCTCCCCTTTTCAGATGGAAAAGTGAGCTTCGAAAAGATTACACCCGTTTTTGAAGTTTGCACAGCTCCTCTGACTGGGGAGACTGCTCTTTTAACCACCACACCACACAGCTTTTCCCTTATCGCTTCTTGGATGCCAAGATCTACTGGGCTCCCAGCAGATCCCCAGTGGACAACAGTAGATTCTCTTGGGAAATGGCTGAGGTTCTTCTACATGCAGTCTAGCTTGGCTTACGTACTGGAGAGGAAGTGCTGTGACCCAGGCCCAAAGTCCCGGTGGGCATCCTGGAGCTGCTTAAGCCTCTCACCAACTGACGCCTACGGAAAGAACAGTGGATTACTTCTAGCCATTTAGTATGGAATCTGCAGTTGCCTCCAAGAATCTTTACGAGCTCCCTCATAGGCTAGCCTTTCTCCTGCTCCAATCCCATCTATAGTCACCAAACTTCCATCCTCCTCTCGCACTGACAAGGATCAGAGAGCAGCTGCCTTAGTTTTGAGCCATGGTAATTCTCCCCAGTCTAACCAGTGTGTTTAAATCTAGACAAGTTCCTCTCATTCCTTTAGTTCAGCCGTTTCCTGCAGCTTAGAGGTAGAGAAGTTTATTTTCTGACCCCTAATTCTCTACTATTCTTTTCCTGTGTAGATTTCATTTCCAAACCCATGATTCCATTGGGCTTGCGTACACTTTCCCCCAAAGCCTGGCCATACCATGATGCCTCCCCATGGCTCATTTCAGGATGCTCCTCTACCTGGAGCTGTTTCCACCGGATGTTGATCTGTTCCAGAGCCCTTGAATTCTCCATTGACAAGTGTACATCAGAAATGGCAAGTTGGTGGGCCAGATCATTCACTAACTTCACTCCATCTTTCACAGGAGAGAATTCTTCTTTGAAGAGCTAGAACCAAGCAGAACCAAGTGCCACAGCAGACAGAGAGTAGGAAAGAGGACACATCACTCATTCACCTCCCCTTCCCATGTGGAGGGCTAGTCTCAACAACACCTAGCTACTTGGCCATTTGTACAATAGACTAAGATACAAGTGGCCAGTGGTCTAGTCCCTTCCTTCTATTCACTCCAGAAAAGCAGGGATAGAAAACAGTAGGACAGAGATGGCGATAAACAACCTAGCCCCCAATCTAGCCCACAATAAAAGAGGCTTGGCTGAAGCCCAGACCGACAATCATGTCTTAGCAGAAGGAAAATTGGCACTGCGAAAAGACATCGGGTCTCTCAGCAGGGACTGGAGTCAGGGAAGGAGACCTACATACCTTGATGGCTTGGATATGCTCTGGGAGGGAATCAATGAAGAGATCCCCAATGGGCTCCCAAGTGGCTCGGACTCCCTCTGCTTGGGTCAGAGTACTGCTCAGTTCCTCCATTGTCCCTTGGATCTCCAAGAGATGTTCCAGAGTATGCTCAATGTGGCAATGCTGATCCACACAGCGGGCTGTCAGCTTCTCCCACAGCTCGCTGGCCACTGTTGCCTGCTTCCACACAAAGCGGCTAAGATTCTGAATTCGTTGTCTGGGGGAGGTATCTGTGAGTACAGTCATGAAGCCAAGTCAAGCTAACTCGGGAGAGGCAACCCAGAGAAAGACTAAGACAAAGTCATCCTTTTATAAAATATACATGCTTGCCTATAAATGAGGGGTTTGGGACACCAGTGTGTGCCTGTTTGTATACAAATATTCCTATTTATCTATATATTTCCATGACTGAGCTACTTTTGCACATTCAGGGATTTAAATTATTATTTATATTTATGCATATACATAATTATTTTGTATATTTGTATATGTGGTGTGTGTGTGTGTGTGTGTGTGTGTGTGTGTGTGTGTGTGTGTGTGTGTTTTCTGCGTGCCTGTGTGGAGGTTAGAAGACAGTGTGCTGGAGCGGGCTTTCTCTTTCTACAAAGTGGGTCCCAGGTTGCCAGGCTCTGGGGCAAGCACCTTTACCAACTGAGCCATCTCACTGGCCCACATTCAGAGATTATTTTTTAAAAAAATTAAACCATTTATCTTAACATTATTATAGATTAGCTTTTGGTTATAAGAAATAATGTTGATATTTCCTGCACCCTTTACCAAAATGGTAATGTCTTGTAAACTAACAGTATCATATAACACCCAGGATTTTGGCATTGATATAATCTGTCAATTTTGTCCAAAGTTCCCTGGTTTTACCTATATTCATTTGTGGGTGGGTGTGCGCAGCGCGCACACACACACACATTTAGTTCTATGCAGTTTTATCATGTGTTGCTTCATGAATCTACAGCCACATGAGGCCGTTTTAGTTTTCCTCCCACATTTACATTAAGGTTATCTCATTTTTTAAATGGCAAGGTAAGGAAGGAATAAAGTATTTTAAGAGGTATGGTGAGGTAAATCATCTAGTCCTATTCATATATCCCAGGAAATGATTTAGGCATTAGTGTCTGCTGTTCACTAAAATCCAAAGAAGGATGCTCCAGCTCAGTCAGGAGTCTGGTATAATGTGCCAAGCTTTTCTCCTTGGACTTCTCATTTTTAGGTTTCCTCCTTGTCCCTCAGACTTCCTTCGGAAAGAGGAGGATTCAGAGTCTCTAGTCCCAAGCTGCGTGGACTCGCCTTACTGTCTCTGGAGCTTGCCCTATCTGCGGCCACTGAGCAGTGATGTATGTGCTAACTGGCCCACTGAGAGGCCAGAAATCAACCGAGCCTGTGAATGGAATCGAGAAAGGACTCCGCTGATGAAGGCTTCTTTCCAGTCTATTCCCTCCGTGGGTTGGGGCTCAGGAGCCTTTTCCGGAGGGTTTGCTAGACTGCCACTTGGACTTGATTTCCATGAATGCCACACTGGCAGTTTATGGGAATCGAGATAGAAAACAGCCCTCGCTATGAAATCAGGTCCAGAAGTCACCAGGGTCAGTATCGACCAGCCACAATCAATTTTCATCTGAAAATCTGAAGATTCTTTGGTTTTAAGATTGCGTTGTAGTTGCTGGCTGATACCAGCATCGCCAATGTCCCTCTATGTTGGAATAAATCAGATTCTTTCCTAATGTTTTCAGTTCGTGCTACATTTATTCATTAGTATCTTCACACGCAAATGTGAAAATGAAGGTGCAGATCCACACGGGTAGTAGGTACAGCCTGGCTTGTCACTCAGGGGACAAACAAAATCCCGAAAGGATAGACTCCTCTCATTCCCTGAGTGGCTTCAATTCACTTGAGGTCTCCCTCCCTGCCTCCCTGCCTCCCTGCCTCCCTGCCTCCCTGCCTCCCTGCCTCCCTCCCTCCCTCCCTTCCTCCCTAACATCTCATTACAAGGCCACACATGATTCTCTGAAGAGCCACATACAGCTTTAGGCCCCATGCTGGTGAGACCTACTTCAGGTTCTTTCCTTTCTTACAACTGTGACTCTTGTCCCATTCTGACTCTGGGCCCAAAGGAGAAAACTACCTTCCTAAGTAACAACTCAGAAAAGGAGCCCGTGAAAGGCACAAAGGTGTTTGTTTACTAGTACATATAGCTCAAGAAGAAATGGGGGAAGGCAGGAAGGCCACCTACCTTTGCTCTCAGAATGAGGCTCCTCTAATTCCTCAAATGGGTGCTGGGTCAGGAAAGCCTGAGCGGATTCCAGCACGGAGTAGATATAGGGACCTTTAGACTTGACTTCCTCCATAAAGGCCTGTGAAGGTTTGCAGTCAAAAGGAAAAGAAAGCCTTTCAATCACTTCAATTTTACGCCATGATCAACAACCTTTCTTCTTAAGGAAACTTGGTCCCGCGGCATTACTAGGGATTTTAGGGTTACCCAGGGAGGGAAAAAGATCAGTCCTCCCTATAGGCAGAAAATACCTCTAATGCTAGGAAGTCTATTTAGTATGCAGTGAGTCTGGCTATGCCATAAAGTAGAAGAAACATCGTAGAATAGATCTTAGCTTTCTGGAAGACTCAGTGTGACACCAGCCTGGGTTTTATAATGAGCTTGAGTTCAGTCTGAGCTCTATACTAAGTTTGAGGCCAGTCAAATCCATGTAGTAAAAATTTGTCTCAAAAACAAAACAATATGAGAACAAAACAAAGAGATATTGGTCATTTTCTGATTATAGAGGTGATGTCACAAAAACATTTGAAAGTTCAGAAAACTATAAATTAAAAATATACAGCCTGGTCTCCAAAGTGAGTTCCAGGAAAGGCGCAAAGCTACACAGGGAAACCCTGTCTCGAAAAACAAAACAAACAAACAAAAAATATATAAATTAAAACTAAATGAAAAATTATAGAGAATTACAAAATGAAAGAGAATTACAGTTTTATCACCTAGAGTTAACGTTTTGGTGTATTGCCCCCCTGTGCCATTTCTGTACACACACACACACACACACACACACACACACACATCTATATACATCTTTATGTAACTGAGATCCATAGTTTTATAGTTTGCATTTTAAACATCATATCAAGTTCATTTGTCCATATTCTCCTTATAAATCAAGGCAGGGTTTTAAATTGGATGACCAGGCTTGGCTCACGCTGTGGACTGCAAGCCCCAGACGAGGACTGCACACCCTGACCTACTGCTTTAGGTATCTGAGTAGACCTGAGGGCCTGTCTGTCAGGGTCCCACCTTGAAAGAGTGTTTCCTGCTGAGAGGCGCCACACCACCCCTCCAGGAGTCCAACCTACCGCATGTGTCTCCTTCTCCTGCTGTACCAGGGCCACATCCCCTTGCAGGGGCAGTTGAGCTGACAACTCCTCATCCTTTTGGCTGAGCCAGTCAATAATCTCCTGGAGCGGGAGCTGAAGTTTTCCACTGTGGTCTGAGAAGGCCTCGAGGCGAGCACTGTAAGATCAGTGACCCAGTCACTTTTTAAATAACAAAATCTATTCTTCCTTTAATATGCAAATATACTTTAATATACAAAATGGACTCAAAGGAACTGCTCTAGCTGAAGTGGAAGGAGACCCGGGAGCCGCTCCTCCTTGTATCTACCCATGAACGTTCCCACCACAGGTGTGTAGTAGTTTAAACAGTGGTTGGGAGCTATCCTATATTAAAATGGTTGAAAACATCACTTTGTGGATCTTGGTCACTTCAGCTGCATGTCCAGCACCATGCCAGGAAGGGTAAGAAACTGAGCAAGGGCGTTAGGGGTGACAGCAGTCTGGCTCCCCTCTTGCCCTTGCGGAACACAAATCACATCATTCTGCTCAGCCAGGTAGGATGCTCTGCACAGGAGCGAATACAGTTGGTGGGAAGGGCAGGGTGGACGGTTGGATATGAGCACAGACCTGAGCAAGGCTCTACACAAATCTCAGCCCAAAGGGACTCAAAAGATGACAAAAACATCGGCTACGGGTTGGAAATACAGAAGAAAACATGTGTTATATAATCACATGTCTGTTTGCCCCCGACACCCAAATGAAGTATGAGCTAAGGTCTAACAGTAGCAAGCTGGAGGCTGGTCAAGGCCTGATGCAGATATTAATCCCATTCCTCTTAGTTGGCACTAACAACTATCTCTGCCCACTGCTTCCCTATACCTGGGGAAAAAAAGCTTTTTCTAAATTACGGTGTCAACTAGTTCTTACAACAATCTTATGGGGTGGGCATTATCATTTCCAAAGATCAGTTTGTTCAGGACTACAGACTTAGGTGACTGACACAGATCTGTGATTTGAAACAGGCTTTTCAGGCAGACAGGCTGCTTTCTCTCAGCTTTTCTACACTGCCTCATCTCATCACAGACCCCCAGATGCCCCGAGTTTGGGCTAAGAAGGAGACGTACACAGCAGAGCAGAAAGAAAACAACAGAGAGAAGCCGCCTTTGGGCTCTTACTGAGTTGCATCTACCCGAGGTGACAGCCCATGGATGGGAATAGAGGACATCGAAAGGTGCGACTGGGCTGGGGGCGCGGCCCGGCTGGGAGAGCGCTTGCCTAGCATGCATGAACTTTGAGCTCCATGACCACAGAAACTGGACGTGGTGGCACATGCCTGCAATCCACGTACCCAGGAGGTGGAAACAGGAGGATCAGAAGTTCTGGGTCCTCAGCTATATAGTGACTTGAAGGACAGTCTGGGATACGTCTCTAAATAAATAAATAAATAAATAAAACAAAATACAAGAAAGGGATGGGAGTGTGCAGATGAAACTCTCCAAGGCTGGACAGTCATGAGGAAGAGGAGGAGGGGACAATTGCTTCATTTTGATTTATATACCAGCACTTTTAAGTTTAGAAAGCATTATTCCTGGTTATTTGGATGTTGGTGACACTGTGAGGTAGGGAGGAGAAGTATTATTTATTCCTCCTTATTTCATCTTCTTAAAAAAGTAAAGAACGTATTTGCATGTCATCCTTGCGCAGGGGCCATGCTAATCTTCTCTGTATCGTTCCCATTCTAGTATATGTACTGCCCAAAGCAAACGAGGCCAGGCAGTGGTGGCACACGCCTTTAATCCCATCACTCGGGAGGCAGAGGCAGGCAGATCTTCGTGAGTTCGAGGCCAGTCTGGGCTACCAAGTGAGTTCCAGGAAAGGCGCAAAGCTACACAGAGAAACCCTGTCTCAAAAAAACAAAAAACCAAAAACAAACAAACAAACAAACAAAAAAACCCTAAAGAACGAAGCCAGATGTAGTAGTGCTCGCCAATAAGCCTAGCACTGGAGAGGTAAATAAGAGTTGATTCCAAGGTTCAAGGCCAGCCTGCACTCTACAGAGAATGCCGAGCCAGCCTGAGCTACAATCTCAGGACAAAATCAAACCGAGTGGAAGCTAAAATTCAGAGAACTCGAGCAACTTATCCAAGATGACACGACTACTTAAAACGGGTTAAGATAGAAATGGCCTTACTTCTAACCCAGGGTTCTTCCTCTGTGCCCGAGAAAGATAGTGAGGCTGACTGGGGGGTACACAAACTACAGCAACAAAAGGGGCCCAATACTGTCCCAGCCAACCCCTAAAGTAACTTTTTCTAGGGGTTAGTCCTTACCGGAGGTTATGAGACTTCTTTTTTATTTCATTCCAACACAGATTCATGGCTGATGGTTCCAGGGGGCCAATGGCTCCAACAGACCCGTTCAAGAGCTTCGGACTTAGGCAGGGATTCCCGGCACCATCCCAAGGAGGTGCGGGGATGGTGACCGCAGCTCTAACCTGGACAGAAACACAAAAAGTCCTTGGTCTCTGGACTTTTCCATGCCCTCTTCTATGCTAAGTGTGGGACAGGAGTGAACAAGAGGAGAGAAAGGCTGGTCCTAGGGTCCAGAAATCCTATCCTATTTTGTGCGGGTGCGTATTCAAGGGGGAGCTGCAGCAGGACTCTACAGAGCCACTCGCTGGGAGCTCTTCTCTTGGAACGGGCATAGAAGTGCAGAGTACTGCTTCCTTCTTGATACACTCCCCTACCCTCTGTTAGAAATTTTGTCAGGATGACTGTGCAAATGGGACCCTGCATCCAATAAGAAGCTGGTGGGATTTGTCCAAACATGAACAATCATAGCATTCAAACTGAGCTATAGACTCAATCCACAGGGGCTCACACTTTACCCAGCCTTCTAGAAAACACAGCTGAGGGGCTGCCCCACAAAGATTCAGAGAAGAGGCAGCTAAGGCAAAGGAAGTGATCTGTTCCCTATATCCTACTTTCCAATGGATCTAGGCCGTTCAGGTCACCTTCCCCCAGTTTTAATCCACACTTCAAATGACAATCAGGAAGCCTGGAAATCTTCCTAAAGGTCGTGAAGGTGAACGTGGACTGAGAAAGATAAAAGGAACATTCTGGATTTTGCACTAAAAAGGATTTTGACTTATGGCGGCAGCCAAGCAGCCCAGTCTTGAAGCTTGCCAAACTGTAGCTTGGGTTCTCCGTCTCATACTCTGCTGTTGTTGTCCTGGGCACTGGTGAGGCCCTGTGAGAGTATTGTCGGGTCTAGGGTACGGTTGACCAAATCACCCAGTATGCGCATAGTGCTGGAAATACCCAGCCAGGGACAGTAGAGGGTGGAGGGAGGGAGCTGGAAGAGGGAATCTCTGTCTGAGCTGATCCGCCCTACCCATGAAGACTCTCCTGTCTGCCCACAGGTCTACCTGCATCTTGCCAGCTAGCTGGCCCTCCTAGAGGCTGGGACTCCTCGATTCTCCTCTCTGTCTTAAAATCATACTTTTTTTTGATTATTTAGTAATTTCTTTTTTGTTATTATTAAGAGATTTTCTATTCATTTTACATACCAACCACAAGTCTCCCTCTCCTCCCTCCTCCACCCCCCCAGCCTTTCCCCCCAACCCACCCCCCATTCCCACCTCCTCCGAGGCAAGGTCTCCCATGGGGAGTCAGCAGAGCCTGGTCCATTCAGTTGAGGGAGACTCCCCAGGCAATTTAGGATACCAACCATCCCAGTAAAACTATAGCTCACGACCACAGCGTGAAAGAAAAGTGAGGAGCTGCCAAGTTCTGGGGGACAACCTGAGAACTGAGCCCCGCTGCAGCCTGTGTGCTGACCCTACCTGTGCTGCCTGAGGAGTCCATGGCAGGACCTGGGAGTTCCATGATTTTCCCTCAGCAGGAATCCAGACCCCGTGTCTGGTGAGTGCAGACAGGCAGAATCCTGAGGAGCTCTGAGCAAGCAACCCCACTCAGGGAGACTGGGCAGAGCTAAGCCAGGCCAGGAGGCGGGGTGGGGGATGGGGGGCTGCTACCCTGTTTGTTTACTGACCCCCCAGGAATCTGGAGGGGGCGGCCATGTCAGAGTCTACCCAGTGAATCAGAGCTTTGTTGTGGGGAATTCCGGCTCGCTCCCAGGCTGGCAAGGGTAGCAGGAGTGGGACTGGGCATTCCATGGGGCTGAGGAGTGGTGTGGAGAGGGCAGCCCTGTTGACTAACTTCCCCTCTCTGAGGAAGACACAAAGCACTTACTGCCTCCAGGCCCGGCCCTGCTCTGAAGTGGACACAAAGATAAGGCAACTTGAGCAATACACTTTTGGAAGGCAGTTTCTCCAAGGACTGATGGAAGATGAGCTTGGGAACTAAGCCTTGCTCCCAACTAAGTGAGCGTCTTCGGAAGCAGTGAGGAGTGTGTTCGGCACCTGGGGACAGGGTCATGGAATGTCTGCACTGGGAAGCTGGGGTAGCAGAATCCCTGTGCATTTGGTCATCTTCCATGAGTGCAGAGACCAGAAGATTCACTGGAGGCCACTACTAAAATAAGGGAGTGTTTTGCCCTGCCTTTGAGAGGTAGAGGGAGAGCCATGACTGGCAGACTTCTGTACCCTGAGGACAAACTGATGGGCTCTGGGCATCCCTTTGAGCCTCTATAGCGGAGGAAGAGAGGCCAATGAAATGTAGCAGCTCCATGAAGATAGCCAGGGATGGAGACACCCCTGTGCCAGCCTGGGCTATACTGGGTGGGACTGAGGGAAGCCCTTTCCATTAAGCCGCTGACTGAGGGGCCGAGCCCTACTGGAAATGATCACTAGTTTCTCTCTTTAGTGGACTTGCCTGGAAAAAAGGTTAACATTCCCGAGCTCAGCCCCCACCCCTGAGCACTTTCGGAAAACACTATGTTTATACCAAAAAGTGTTCTGTTCCCATCCTTCTTTATCTCCCACAGTCTTCTCGGCTTTCCACAGTTCCACATTGTTTCCATACTGAGGTCCACCTACAGGCATAGCTGTAACGGCGCCCTGACCCTTTCTAGAGGCCTGAGCGGAGCCAACTGGGATGGCTGGAGGCTGGCAGGGGAGGACGAGCCAAGAGTGGGGAGTGCCTCCAGTTACAGGCATTACTTGTGTTAGGATAATTGGGCTAAAGCCAGTGTCACAAAGTCCTTTGGACTGGGAATGCCCCTGAGTTGGAAAGAGCCCCTTGTGATCCAGCCGTGACCAAGCCGTCCTGGCTGTGCTCTGGGGAGGAACACACAATGAGCTGGGCGCCACCGGCCATCGGTGTTCGCCTTTCATCCTCTTCAGCGCTCTCTCTTCTTAGCTTCCTAATCACCAGCCAGCCGGCTCCCGCGTTGTTCTCTAGAGCCCTGTTCTCCTCTCATTTCCTCTCTGAAGAGGGCCAAGGGCATTTCGTAGGCGAATCATGAAGAGGAACTGTGTTCTTTCCCTTCCCCTATCAGTTGCTTTCCCGTTCTGTTTTTTTGTGGATGTTTGCTGCTCACACCCCATCCACAGAATTCTCTACCCATACCTTGAACCCTTGAGACAATAATAGTGCAGGAAGGAAGAAAAAAAACACGTGCAATCAGGAAAGAAAGACTGCCCTATGCCATTCACAATCACACACTGCGGCCCCTATGAGCTCTGCCCATGCAGGGAAGCTTGGTGGGTGTGGAGAGACAATGGGCAAATGAAGCCTTTTGGAAAGACGCAGGCTTTTCAATACCTCCACACTGTGAGAGCCACACTCCAGGCAAGAGGTAGATTACTGGGCAACTCTAAATTGACCCTGGCTTTGAAAATATATTAGAGGCAGAAATGTTTCTCTGGCTAAATGCCAAAACAAAGAAAAGAAAAACAAAAAGACTGATCCGCATTCTTGTCTGGATCTTGACTTTTCCTTCTTTAGCTTTTCCCAAATGATTTCCCTAACACCCGTATTCTCTCTCTGCTGCTTTGTGCCCTCTCTCCCATCTCCCTACAGACTGACCTGCTGTCTGTGCCCCTAGAAATGACTCAGCACCGCAGTCTGTCTGTGACTCTCCGGGATATACTGTACTTCCTCGTGCCCCACAGTCTCTAGACCCCAAAGCACTGCAGGGAAATCCAGAGTGCACCCATGTCTCCCTTTTTTTCCAGACAGCTTCCCCTGGACCTCCTTCCTCATTTTAAGGAAAGGAGGGTTCTCTTTCTAGATTACTACTTCTCACCCACCCACCACAGAAACAGAGACAGACAGACAGACACACCACCACCACCACCACCACCACCACCACCATACTCTTAAGGGAGAAGAGAAAATTCTAAGCTGGGCTGAGCCAGGAGCTGCGAGGAAGACTAGGGACTTGAGATGATGAGCCAATGGAGAGAGAAACCAGAAGAATATAAAGTACACTAGGCAGAAACCAAGGCCGTGGAAGGACCTCACTTTGCTCTAAGCCATGCACTGAAGAATCATGCTCTTTTGGGATCTCCCCAGACCTGTAATCCCCAGAAGGTTAACATGGGATTGGTCCTCATCAGATGTAATAGGCCTTTGGATTACCTAACCTGACGACTTTCTCTGCAGCATGTCCCCCATTAACTACCTCATGGCTGATAAGGAATGGGCTGTAGGAGGCTCTGCTATCTAAGGGTTTTTATTTACATGAGTTTCCTTGCACCTTAGGAAGTATAGGCATCATTTATGTTCAAACAGATCCCACATCCAGTCATTTTACACAGGCCTTTCTTTTACTAATGGACACTTACCTGAGGCTGGGGACAGCTGTTTCTGAGGCTGCTGCTGTGATGAAACCTGTCAGCAGCACGCCACTCATGACATCGTGGGAGGGTGTAAGGGCATCCCTGCATGACCAAAGGTTGCATCAGAACCAAGGCTCATGGAGGGTGAGGATTGGCAGTCGACCAACTGTTGAGCATCAAGCACCTGGAAGAGTAATAAGGAGAGATTTAGAGACAAGGCTAGACCAAGCCAATGAAGTTAGCACATCCTAACAGCTGTATGGACCAGCTAACTATGTAGCAGATAAACATTCATAGATAACTGACCTATACAATAGTTCTTCCCAGGCTACTGTGTTCCATAAAAGATTAATTACTAGCCAAGGCAGTATTGTTGGATGTATAATAATGTAGTATAGGATGCTTTGTGCTAAAGACACAAAGGTGAATTACTATGAGATAGGTTGGAGATGGAGCTAGGTAAGCTAGTAATTACAATAATTACTTATGTGTCAAGTACTATAATTAAGGCTAGACTAGGTTAGGGAAGCACAAAGCAGATCCAAGACCACCCAGATTCGGAGAGACTGCATTTGAGGGCCTGGGGAGATGGCTCAGTCAGTTAAGTGTGTGCTACATAAGCATGAGGACTTTAATTTGATCCCCAGAACACACATTTAAAAAAAAGTTGGGCCTGGTAGCGTGTGCTTATAATCCTAACACTGGGGAGGGGAAACAGGCACTTGGATAGCCAGCCTAGAATACTTACTGAGCTCTGGGCCAATGAAACACTGTCTCAAAAAAAAAAAAACAAAAAACAAAAAAAAAACAAAAACAACAACAACAACAACAACAACAAAAACCAAATAAATAAATAAATAAATAAAAAAGCTGCTCCTGAAGTTGACCTCTGGCTTCCGTACAAATGTGTACACAAATGCATATGCTCCTGCACATTCACATGCACCCACCTGCAAGCACACACACGAACACACACACACATATGCACACACACACATACACACACACACGCACACACAAACACATGCACACACACACTACAAAGAGAATGCATTTGAGATGGGCATTGGAGGCAGAGTTTGCCTCTGCAGAAAAGGGGAGAAAGGGAGACAGGCAATAATGATTGACCCACCTGTTTAAAGGCTGATGTCCCAAAACGGCTAAGCATACCCCAGTAACAGTGCGTTCAGTATAGAAGACACAGAAGGAAAAGACAGTGCCTGCTCAAGGAGTTCACATACAGAGAAACAGGGAGAATAGACCATAAATTATATGCATTAATATTAGAAAGAGTGATGGGATGGAGTTAAAGAAATAGATGAGGACAAGGTGAATTCTTCCTGGTCGTGTCAAGAAAATTTCCCTAGAGAAAATGTACTTTAGATGAATCATGAAAGATAAGTGGGATTGCATTAAGTAGAGAAGATAAAATGAAAAAGAATTTTCCAAACTGCACATAAAAAAGTGTAGTGTGAGCAAAGAACAAGATAGGTGCCTGATTGGGTCATGTCCTGAATGACAAACGAAAGAGTCTAGCTTTTATCTTGTAGACAAGAAGGAGGCACTGAAGATTTTAAGCAGGAGAGTGACATGGCCAGATTTTTCTCTGCTTGCCTTGTGTGGTGATTCTCCCAGGGGAAGAACACACTGAGAAGCTAGCATATAATAAATAGGTAGGCAGGATGCATGAGCAGACAGCAAGCTTTGAGGTACATTGAAGGGGAAAAATGTTTGGGACTCCGCGGCCAATTGGATGTGAAAGGGGAGGGAGCAGAAGGAGTCAAAATTTCTAATTTGGGAGCTAGGTGGGCAACTTTGCCAAGAGCAAGAGCAGGAATACAGGAAAAAAAACACATTTGGTGTGGTAAGAGGTGAGGGTAATGGTATTTAAGGAGCAAGGCTGGAGACATTTAGCTTTACACGTCAGGACTGACGATCTTTGAAAAGGAGCTATATGAACAAAAAATTAGAAGTACAAGTCAAATGATGGCTTAATAAATGTATACACCAAGAAGATAAGCAACAAGGATGATGCTTGCAAATGAGAAAGGAGAAGAAACAATAATCTTTGATTCTTGGTGGTGATAATTCAATAGTGACCGTTTTTAGACTCTATTCCACCAGTTTCCAACATTCTACATATAAGGGTCCCTTCCTAAGACGAAAAAGCGTCTCACTTCACCCACTCACACCCACAATAGTAGCTGTACTTTTAGAACTTACAGAATGGGAAAAACACGTAACACATTTAGACATCTGTAGACTCCATGCATCAAGTACCCTTTTTCTCAAGGGTCCATGGTCCCAAGATGAAGGACTATTACAGATTCTGGTGTTTTGTAGAGTGAAGAACACTTTGTTACAGCTAAAAATTCCTGGCAATTACACAGCTACACAGCTTTCTACCCACAAAGACATTCCCCAAAGAATGGTTGAAAATATGATTCCCCTAATCAAATACCAACAGAAAGAGATCAGTCACTCAGATAAAATATAATGTATCGAACTGGATGTGGCAGTGTAGCCTTTAATCCCATCACTCAGGAGAAAGAGACAGGCAGATCTCTAAAGAGTGAAGGGCAGTCTGATCTACATAGTAAGTTCCAGTTCAAATGCTTTTGTTTTTGTTGAATTCACAAGTAATTCATGTTCTTAAAATTCAAAAGATTGTTCTATGGTGCTAGCAATTGAATCTGAGGACTTGTGCATACGAGGTAAACTCTATATCGCTGAAGCACATTTCTAGCCCTTAAAACCTTTTCCATTTAAAATTTATTTATTTACTTAATTGGGGTGCTGGGGACAGGGCCCAGGGACTTTCGAATGCTAGGCAAGAGCTTTACCACTGAGCTGCATCTTCAACTGGAAAATGTGAAATACGCCAGAGATGGAACTGAAAATAAGCGCCGTGTTATCGCAACCCAGGGATAACCATCCTTAACAGATGTAAAGATGTAGTACTTTGTCTTTGAAAAAGAAATACGGGTAAGTTCCAGGTGATTTGGGAGACATGAAAGTGGTTGCACGTGACCAGAGAAGCAGAGTCAGAATAACTAAAAATAGACTATTTCAAAGAGAGAAGAGGAAGAGCTTTGGAAATTCACGAAGGTGCTAATAGTGAAGCAGCGAAAGCACAGAGTACTCTAAACTGAACAAGCTTCGACCACGGGGTTCTCTGAGGGGAAGGGAAGGGAAGCAGAAGCCCAGCCCAAAGCACTTTGTTTTCTCCTCTCTGCGGTGTCCTAGGGAATTAAGCCCTCCAAAGAAGGCTGTTCAATCAAAATATCGCCAAGTAAAATTGAAGAGAGATGCAGACAACAGATGTGCAAATTTAATCACAGAAACCCAAACGAGCTCAGCTCCTCAGTTACTGAATTAAAAGATAAAGGAAATGGGTAAATGCTAGGTAAAGATTTCCAAAGTTTAAGACTAAAGGTGATCAATGACCCCAAAGAAGCTACAAATAAGCACACGACCTTCATCTAAGACCTAGGCAAGAAAGTCAGTAACATGGAGGAAAAATTCAGCAAGGAAGTTGGGATTTTGAAAACAGGAGAACATAGAATAGAAACATCAGAAAAAGGGCTGATGAGACAGTTTAGCGAGTTAAGGTGCTTGCCATCACTGATGACCTGTGTTTGACCAATGGGAAATACTCGGTACACAGAAAAAAAGCACCTCTCAAAAATTTCTCCCCTATAATAAATAAATAAGTTTAATAATATATATGTTAGAAATGAAAAGTCAATAAATCGAAAATTTAAAAATTGTCCAAACCACCACCAATGAACTCAACATAGCAGAGGAAAGAATTTAGAGGTGGAGGGCATGGTTAACAAAACACTACTTTTACAAACAAGAAAAAACAAAAAAGACTCCAGGTGTCACAGTACACAGTGCTTGGGAGGCAGAGGCAGGCAGAGCGCTGTGAACTCAAGGCCAGCCTGGGCTACATAGCAATTTCCAGGAGAGCCAGGGCTGCACAAAGAAACCATGTTTCAAAAAACTAAAAAAGAAAGAAAAATGAGCCTGACCATAACTTCCAGGAATTCTGGATCAAAAGGCCAAACCTAAGAATCCATAGGGTAGGAGTTGAGATAAAAACAGAACACACTGAGAATCTAGTGGATAAAATAGCAGCATAAAAATCCCCACATCTGGAGAGATAAATGCAAATGCCAGAGTCATTTGGAACTCAAAATAGGTAAGACAAAGTAAGATCCTCTTCATAGCATTCTCCAGTCAGGAAGTCAAAAATACAAAACAAAGAAACAATTTTAAAAGCTTTAGAGGAAAACTATCACTAACTTACAAAAGCAAACACATCATAAAAACATCAGGTCTCTTATCAGCAACCCTAAAACTAACCAGAGGAGGAGGAGAAGGAGGAGAAGGAGATATTTCAAGCTCTGAATACAAGTAACTACCAACCAAGACTGTTATATGAAACGCAAAGCTGTATTTTAAAATTGATGGAGAAATAAGGACATTTTAAGATTACTACAAAGTAAGCCAGCTCAAGCACAAACTAACCACTGAGCAGAAGATCATTTTTTATTCTTTGTGTCTTTCACATCACGCATCTCCATCCCATTCATTTCCCCATCCCTTCGTATCCACCCTCTGACCTTTCACCTGCTCCCCCCAAATAAAATAAAATAAAATTTAAGAAAAAAAGAAAAGAAAAAAGAGAAGGAGAAAAATCGCTCATGTGTAAGCTGTGGTGTGACCCAGTGAGTCACACAGTAAACCCTTCTATCCACACATCTTTACTTGCAAGTGTTCATTGCAGAGAGTCACGGGTCTGGTCAGAGGCCTCTACTACACTGCTACAGTATCGATGCTGGCCCTCACTGGGGCTCCTCTTGGCTGTTCTGCTGTTGCCCTGTGCAGTAGAGATCCTGCAGCTTTGGGTCTGCAGGACCAGCACTTTCACGTGCTCCAGCAGATCATAGATAGACAGGGTGGATGTTGGGGTGGACCAACTCATAGCCCTGGTTCTGGGCCTGGGTGGTTGCAGGGTTGGTCAGCCCGCCAGCTCTCCCCTGTCCTCACCACCAGGGGGAGCACTCCTGCATTGTCCTGGGGAGTTCACTCCTGGAAGCAATGCCAAGGGGCGGGGCTAGTCCTGCTTTCATGTCCTCAGGGTCAGACCCCCCCTACACACACACACCTACACCTTCA